GGGAGCCAGCGCGCGCTGACGCAGCCACCACCTGTATTCCGACGCACTGGATTACAACGAGGCGACAAGGACACACATTTTCGTGTTCTCTGAGAGTACTCCAGGCCCTAAGTGTATTTGTGCGATGTCCATGCTGCACGCGACTACCTGCATCTGTGTGCAAATTATCGTGCCTTTAAGAAATCAAATGAAAGATAACCAAGATAATATCAAAGTGGTATTACGTTCCGTTAATCGCTCACAGCAACCCTACACAGGATGATACTTACTACCCTCCATGAACAGATGTTTTGAGAAAAAACTCACCCTGTTTCAGGTGACTTAGGCTGGCCAGCAGGAAGTGCTGGGGTTGGACCAGCCAAGTCTGGACGCCTGGGAGTCCACATTCTCACCCACTCAAGCAGAACCTCCTCCTCACTGCCCGCTCTCCAGTTGCGCTTTTCTACTTGCGTGTTAACCACAACCACACGAGAAGTACAGCAGAGCTGATTACTTACATCATCGTCCATTTCTTAGAAAACAACAGGTAGGATAAACGGTAAGCGAAGGTTAACACGATTAGTGAGGTTGATGGGTCAAGTCTCCTGTCTCCCGAGCTCTAGGGTTTTATTTTTTCCAACCACGCTGGTCAAACATTCTTTAATTGGAATGGGCTACAAAAAGTGAAAATGAGTATTGACTCTGCACAAAGAGCGTGTTCATCGCTCTCACCTGGGCACTTAAAGAAAGACTGTACTTTCCAGCTGGCATGTTTTATGGCAGCTGCCTGAGTGTAGGATGTAGGTATGGATGAAATCACGATGACCTTTTCCAAGCTCAAGCTGTAGGACTTTCAATATGGATGGAGCACAATGGCTGGCCCAAGCTACTTTCTCAAGTGCGAATACGACAGGCGGATTGGAATTATTACGCCATCATTTTTGTTCGTCACTTTGTTACCTTAATGATGGCTTAAGGCTTACGGTAAACTACGGCTGTGCGAACTGGGGCACACGACGAGTTCGTGAGTGCTTGGGTACATAGCTAGGTAGCTCATTGTAAGTCCTCAGAGCCACCCACTTTGCAGGAAGGAACGTCATCATCGTGCATCTGGTACAGCCATAACGAGGACATAACAGAGTCAGTGGCCGACTTTGCCCCCGAGGCCCACACACGTAGTGGTGGAGAGACCTCGGATTTACAGCCAGGCAAGAGACACATTCCTGGTATCTTGCCCTGTACTCCTTGCTGCTGTTCCCTGGATCAGAGGAATATGATCCACACATCATCTGGCCACTGGCAGAAGGGCAACTATCACAAAAGCATGTGACTGCCAAAAGAAGTGCTCTGAACAACAACAGGAGCATGGTGTTTTAGAGATTACTTCATTTAAACAGCCAGCGATTGCTCTTTCCTGTACAAAATTCTCGAGAAGAACGCCCCCAAAGAAGGAGGTCATGGCGCCGCAACTGGCAGCGACCTCGCCTGCCCTGGGCTGTCGTAGGCCCCTCTTATCGGTACAGACTGCAGGACTCACAACGGAGCACCATGGAAGCTTACAAGATAGCGGAATCCCGGCCATTTGAAGAGGGACAGGTTTGGGTCCCGACATGCATCATTTCAAAAACCCAAGAAAGATTCAGATCTTTCTTGGGGCGCTAATGGAACTCGGCCGATTTCTCCACATTAAGAGAAAGAACATAGTAAAACACGTTCTGTAGAAGCTTGCTGCACTGGGTAATTGTCATAGAAGACATGAGGCCTTTAAAAAAAAAAAAAAAAAAAAAAAAGCAAATGCATAGAGTTTTCTGCAGAAAAGCTGAAGCCTCTTCCCAAGGATAACATAGTGTGGTGAGTTGGTTGACGCACTTATGTTTCATCTTATCCATGATTCAAAATGCTGACACAAATACTAGCGCCCAGGTTTACAGCAGGAGGACTACAGCAGAATAATTCAGACAGAAACGTGCTTTGCTAAAGAGGAAGCCCTGCTGGTCCTGGCGCTTCAAGGTCAGGGCACCATGCGACTGCAGGAATGGGGACTGGTCCAGCCTGTCTCTTGTGCTGCACAGCACAAGCAGTGACAGCATTCTTGCTACCTGGACACAGCCCTATCCTGCCCCTCCACAACATATATGAATCGCGCAGTAAATGAGGCAGGGATGTGTGACGGTCATCGGAGGCTTGAGGAAACAAAAAGGGCTTTGAGAAAAAGTTCACATAAATCATTAATTTGTGTCTGGCGTCTGGTGACGAGATAAAAAGCTTCAAATCCCTTGGTGTGGACCAGATACGTATAGGATTTTGACGCGCGCCCACAGTAACAGAAAAGTCTCTCCTCAGCAGGAAGTAGTCAAAGGACAGATGGCACGTGAAGCATGCAGCCGTCACAGGGTGTCACTAAGATTTTAGCCTGAGAGAAACCCTCGTAGGAAGCCTCCGGAGTCATGTGCTTTGCTTCATGTTGACCTATTGAGTTCCTATGCTGGCTCAGGGGCTGAGGGGGTCGGTTATGCTCGGGTCCCCCGGACAGGAACTTGGGACAACAAGCCGTTCCAGGAGGGAGAATAGGGAGCGGACACAGGGCTCTACCTCTCAACAATTGCCCTCTGGGGAACTTAGGTCCAGAGAACTAACTTCGTCCCACGAAATGGACAGGGATTTACCCCCCAAAGAGAGATGAACAGCAGGATGTGTCAAAAATCAGGGAGCAAATACAAAACAGCTGAACGGTCGAACTGTCAATGTTGTTGGGTCATCCGCCACCCAACGTGTAAAGGGATTTGCGTTTCTTAAGGTAACTTAAAATATAACATACCTGGAACAAAGCATTTAGAGGAGGGCAGGTTTCACCATTTTACGCACATCGTTCACTCATTCAATGTTCATGTTATGCCATGGCCAGAAAAAGCACATCCACAAGAAAGCCAGAGATGGAAATAAATCGTGAACAGCGTTCAATCATACCATATCCATTCGAGATAAGTGGTTGAAATTATATTCTGAAAAATAATCAGCCGATGAGCATGAGAGTAAATATGTGAATTCTCTAACTCACCAGAAAACTAATCTATAGAAATTCCTGAAATCAGGAACATTTTTGTATTACATTTTTTTTTAAAAATCCACTTCTAACTCAGTCCGTTTGCCCAGAGTTGTCTAAGCGTCCGTATATGATTGCCTGCACTTTCTTAGTAGGGGCAGGAAAATGTTGCTGAATGAAGAAATGAATGCTGTGGGGTTTGCCTGGACCAGAACTTCAAACTCCAATTGTAACTATCCTTTGGCTCTCAACCAAAAAAAAAAATTCCAAATGGACAAAGAAATTGAATAGATATTTCTCCAAAGAAAATGGCCAATAAACACAGCGAAAAGATGCTCAACACATCACTAATCATTAGGAATGAAGATCGAGAACTAACAATGAATACATCTCATACCCATTAGGATGGCTACTACTTCACTCACTCTAGCCTGGACAACAGAGCGAGACTCTGTCAAAAAAAAAAAAAAAAGAAAAGAAAACAGAAAACAACAAGTGTTGGCCAAGGTGTAGAGAAATTGGAATTCTTGTGCAGCATTGGTAGGAAGGTATAACGGTGCAGCCACCATGAAAAACAGTATGGCCAGTTACTCAAAGAATTAAACCACAGAATTTCCATGTAATCCAAAAATTCTGCCTCTGGCTAAATGCTCAAAGGAATGGAAAGCACATGTATGTTTACAGCAGCACTGTTCACAAAGGGTGAAACGTGGAAAAAACCAAAGTGTCCATTGACAGATAAGCCTGTAGGCATGCAGATTATTATTCAGCCTGGAAAAGGAAGGAAATTTTGATATATATACTACAGCATGAATGAAACTTGAGGACATTATGATAACTGAAATAAGCCAGTCAAAAAAACAAAAATACTGTATGATTTCACTTTTATGAGGTATTCATAATAGTTAAAATCTTAGAGAAAATACATACAATGGTAGTTGCCAGTTCTGCTATAATGTTCTGACCATGCTAGGAGTTCTTTAGGAAAAAGACTAGCACAAGAAATTATGTTACTTTTAGAAGAGTTTGCTATGCTCTGTGACTAGAAGCTTACTTTGTGATGGTCTGTTTAGGTGTGAGATGATACTACTTCAAGGGGAGATGCCTTAAACATTATTCAAACCAGACACCCTTAACGCAAACCTGCTCTGTAAGAGAACTAAAACACCTTCTGTTATACGCACAGCCAATTAGTCCAATTCAACCGCAGACCTTATAGAAGCCATTTGACGCAAGAAGCCACCAACTTTTCTCGACATCCAAGACACATAAGGCCAGTGAAGTGTGGGTTGGGTAAAAGGCAGGCTTGAATTAACTGAGTTTCTTGGGTCAAATACAGAAATGATTTATTAGCTAATATCTACTCAGGATCCAACAAACCAACCTTGCAGCCTTAACTACATACCACAAACAAGGGATCAAAACCACAGAATTTTTAACATAAAAGCTCCAAAAGTTCAACTCCTTCATTTAGCAGGTGAAGAAAATGAAGCTCAGATACAAATTGATTTGCTAGAAAAAAAAGAAAATGATTTGCTCAAGGTCACTCAACTAGTTAATGGAGAGCTCAGGTCTGCAGCCTGACAACCCAGTGTCCTGCCGCCCAGCACAGTGGCCACCATCACTGGCGCCTCCTGGGTGGAAGGAAGACGCTGCCATTTGACAGAAGTCACAACGAAGTGCCCTAGTGGCGTGTCAGTAGGAAGTACTCCTTTTCCCACCCACCCTGAGCTGTTTTGTTTGTGGTGATAAATTAATCCACCGTGCATACAGTGGCCAGGAATGCTCACTGCTTTCTAAATACTCATGAGAATGCAGTAGAAACCTTTGAAAAACCTGCTTTGTGAAGATGACTTAAAGACTTTTTTGGGGGCGGTACAAGTAAAAGGAAGCTCTGATTCTTTCTGCCTTCCTGGTGGATTAGCACAGTGTCATTCCCCCTTGGACGAGATTCTATTGAAGGAATCTCTGCACTCACCGTGGAACCAGGGAGCGATGGTGTCTGAGGTTTTCTCATAGCCTGCTCGAAGCGGTAGCTGCTCTTCTTTAAACCAACGGATGATGTCCTCCTGGGCGGAACTGGATACTGTCCTCGTTACTCCCTCATTTCTGTTGTTTATAAAAGTTTTTCAAGTTAGATTTCACTAATTTGAAAATAATAATGCCTTCAAAAATATAAACATGTATGTGTTTATATACATACTTAGGCACACACACATAGACAGAAAATTATAGACATTTCAAGATGTAATTACATGGGCTGAGCTAATGGGGGTTGGGCCCCCTGCACATGACCATTATGCAACTTCTCAAGGGCAGAGAGGGAGGAACATAAATCTGTCCCTGTCCTTTCCATCCTAAAGGGCAAGTTATGGGAATGAGCCACTGCTGTGTTAATGCATAGATTTAAATTCATTTTTAGTATGAATGAGAAGCTCAATTAACTCCCAATTAAAATTTGATAAAACATTAAAAATTAAAATACACTTTTACCCCAACACTATTTTCCTAGAGAGCATGTGCTTGTAAACAAACGAAATCAAATTTAAATCATTTCTTGCCTAACATTTTCATTATTTGATTTTTCTCTTCTATCTCTATTTCCATTAGCCTCCCTGGATTTGCTTTCTTCTTCCCACACTGCTAAAAAAAAAAAAAAAAAAAAAAAAAAATCAAGGAGGTAGAGAATATAAGTTACAAGAGGCTGGGAAAGGTATGTGGATGGTGGGGGAATGAGGTGAGCTAGGCTGACACCATGGCACTCTAGCCCAGGCAACAGAGTGAGACAAAAAAAAAAAAAAAAAAAAAAAAAAAAAAGTCTCAGAAATACGAAGTAAAAGAAAGAAGAGCGTTTGAAGACTGGTAAGGACAGATATAGGCAGCAGAATCGTTTTGACATAAATTCAGTAGCAGAGCTTAAGTTCTGGGATGTAAGTCAATTTCCACTACAGACAGCAACACTGCAATGTAATAAACATATTTCCAAGTCCCATTCAACAGCCTACTGACTTTGAGGAGAATTCAATTTAAACACACCACCAACACCACTGCAGTCAGGAAAGTATCCTGTCTGTGCAGAGACCTGCTGGGAGATGTGCACCCGTCTGAGCTAACAAGACGGACTCTCCAGCTTCTATCATAAAACAGATCCCAAGGGGGTTCCAGTCTCAATTCCAGCCCCCCTTGCTGCAGTCAAGGCCCTATCCTATCTGTGCAGGGACCTGCTGGGAGACACACCTATCTACACCACAGTCCCAGTACACTCCTCCTTAGGTCTCCACCGTGTAAACCCTGGACCCCTCACAAGACTTGCAGCAAGCCTGGGCTTAGAGCACCCTCTAGTGTTGAGACAGCTGCAGTGGTCACAGGCTGGGGAGACACAACAGTTAGTCGGCTTGGTATGTCTGAAGGACAGACACAAACAAAGCCAAATTGTGAAGACTCAATAGATACCTAATCCCTCAACAGGCATTGTTGCACATCCACAAGCATCAAGAACATTCAGTGAAATATGATCTTACCAAACATGCAAAACAAGGTGCTAGAGATAAACCCTAAAGTGATAGAGATGTGTGATCTCTCAGACAAAGAATTCAAATAGCTGTTTTAAGGAAGCTCAACAAACTTAACACAGAGAATCAATTCAGAAATTTATCAGGGAAATTTAACAAACATTGAAATAATTTAAAAAAAATCAAACAGAAATCCTGGTGATGAAAAATTGAATGAAACAAAAACATACAATAAAGAGCATCAACAGCAGCTTTGATCAAACAGAAGAATGAATGAGTTCATAGACAGGCTATCTGAAAATATACAGAGGAGAGAAAAAAAAGAATGAAAAGATAAGAAGAAGCTTACAGGATGTATGAGACAACATCAAAAAAGCAAATATTCAAGTTATTAGAATTAAAGGAAAAGGCTGTAGAAAGCTTATCCAAAGAAATAACAACAGAAAACCTTCCAAACTAGAAATAAGAAATAAATGTCCAGGTATAGGAAGGTTCAAAGGTCACCAATCAGATTCAACCCAAATAACAATACTCTAAGACATACTGACCTCAAAGTTCAAATACAAAAAGAAGATCATGAAAGCAGTGGAAGAAAAAAAGAAAATAACGTATAAGGGAGATGCAATATACCTGGCAGCAGACTTCTCAGCAGAAATCTTACAGGTAGGAGGGAGTGGGACAATAGAGTTCTGAGGAAAAAAACTCTCAACCAAGAATACTGTACCCAGCAAAACATTCCTACAGAAATTAAGGACTTTCCCAGACAAAATCTGAGTGAATTCATTGCTAACAGACATGTCCCATAATGAATGCTAAAAGAACTCTGCAACAAACTCAAAAGGATGCTAAGGCGATTACTATTCTTATGTTGTAATCATGGTATGTAAATCATGTAAATTTAAATCTTTAGTATGAAGATTAAAAGACAAAACTATTAAAACTAATAAGAGATAGGGCATATAAAAAATGTAAATTTTGACATCAAAAATTCAAAATGTGTGGGAAGACTAGAGTTGTAGTTCTTTTTTTTCTTTGTGCTCAAAGTTAAGTTGGTATCAGTCTATAACTTGTTATAACTATAGGATGTTTTTGTTAACCTCATGGTAACCACAAAGCAAAAACCTATGATACACTAAAAAACTAACCAAAACATACTACTAGAGAAAAATCACTTAACCACAGAGGAAGACTGTAAGAGAAGAAGAAAGGCATAAAGGATCTACAAAACAACTAGAAGTATCAAAATATCAACAGTAAGCCCTTACCTATCAATAATGACCTTCAATGTAAATGGAATACATTCTCCAATTAAAAGACATAAAGTAGCTGAATGGATTAAAAAAAAAAATAAGCAGCAACTATATGCTGCCTACAAGAGGCTCACATCATCAGTAAGGACACATACAAACTAGAAGTGAAGGGATGGAAAAAGATGTTCCATGCAAACAGAAACCAGAAAAGAGCAGCAGTAGGTATATTTATATCAGATAAAAATAGACCTTAAGCCAAAAAGTGTAAGAAGACACAAAGACCACCAGTTTATAATGATAAAGGGGTCAATACAACAAGAAGATATAACAATTATAAATATATATGCACCCAACATAGGAGCACCTAAATTTACAAAGCAAATATTATTAATAGACTTAAAGGGAGAGATAGACTGTAATATAATAATGGAAAACTTTGACACCCTGCTTTCAACAATGGACAGATCATCCAGACAGAACCATACCTAGAAATTTACAGAACATTTTATAGAGCAGCTGCAGAATACACCTTCTTCTCAACAGCACATGGATGCTATTCTCCAGGATAGATCATGCGCGTGTTAAGCCATAAAACCAATCTTAACAAATTTTAAAAAACTGAAATCAAGAAATAACAGGAGGAACATTGGAAACTGTACACATACATGGAAATTAAACATGCTTCTGAAAATTATAAAACGTTGATGAAAGAAACTGAACAGGACATGAATAAATAGAAAGAGATCCTATGTTCATGAATTGGAAAAATTAAAGTTAAAATGGCCATACTACCCAAAGCAATCTACAAATTCAATGCAATCCCCATTAAAATACCAATGACAGTTTTCACAGAAATATTTTTTTAAAAATCGTATAGAACCAAAAAAGACACCATATAGCCAAAGTAATCTTGAGCAAAAAGAACAAATATAGGGGCATCACACTGACTTTAAAATATACTACAAAGCAATAGTAACTGAAACAGCATCGTACTGGCATAAAAACAGATACAATCCATGCATTTACAACCAACAGATTTTCACCAAGAACACACACTGGGGAAAAAACTGTTTCTTCAATAAATGGTGCTGGGAAAACTGGATATCCACATGTAGAAGAATGAAACTAGACTCCTACCTCTTACCATATACAAAAATCAACTCAAAGTGGATTAAAGACTTGAATGTAAGACCCAAAACTATGAAGCTACTACCGGAAAACAAGAGGAAATGCTTCATGACACTGATCTAAGTAAGATCTTTAAAGTAAGACCTCAATTTTATAGGCAACAGAAACAAAAATGGTCAAATGGAATTATATCAAGCTGAAAAGCTTCAGCACAGCAAAGGAAACAGTCAACACAGTGAAGAGACAACGTACAGAATCAGACACAATATTCACAAACTATACCTCTGACAAGGGGTTAATATCTAGAATATGTAGGAACTCAATATCAAAAAAAAAAAAACCACAAACAAACCAAATAATCCAAACAAACAGGCAAAAGACCCAATAGACATTTCTCAAAGACAACATACAATTAGCCAACAGGTATATGAAAAAAATGCTTGGCATCACTAGTCATCAGGGAAATGCAAATCAAAAGCAAAATGAGGTATCACCTCACCCCAGTTATAATGGCTATTAACAAAAATACAAAAAGAAAAAATGCTGGCAAGGATGTGGAGAAAGGAGAACTCTTACACACTGCTGGTGGAAATATAAGTTAGTGCTACTTTTATGAACAACAGTATGAGCTTCCTCGAAAACTTTAAAATGGAACATATGATCCAACAATCCTGCTACTGAGTATATATCCAAAGAAAACAAAATCAGTTATGTTGAAGAGATATCTGCACTTCCACCTTTAGTGCAGTACTATTCACAATAGCCAATATATGGAATCCACCTAAGTGTCCATTAATGGACGAATAGATTTTAAAATGTGGTATAGATACACAATGAAATAGTATTCAGCTACAAAAAAGGATAAAAATCCCATCATTTACAACAACTTGGATGAACCTGGAGGATATTATGTTAAGTGAAATAAACCAGGCACTTTAGGACAAGTACTGCACGATATCGTTCATATATAGAATGTAAAAGCAGCAGAGAGTAGAATAGTGGTTACCAGAGGCTGGGGAGAATGGGGGGGGGTGGGTAGGGAGAGATGGGGAGAGGTCGGTCAATGGGTACAAAGTGACAGTTAGAAAGGAGAAATAAGTTATGGGGTTATATTGCATACCAAGGTGACTGTAGTCAATGATAATGCATCGCACACTTCTAAATAGCCACAAGATCTGATTTTGAATTTTCTCGCCACTAAAAAATGACAAGTGTTTAAGGTGATGATATGCTAGTTATCCTGATTTGATCATTACACAATATATTATATGTATCAAAACATCACACTATAGCCCATAAATATGTACAATTATTATGGGTCAATTAAAAACAAAACTTATTTAAAAAACAACAATAAAGAGTTTGGATGAGCCATTGAAACTGCCTACAACTTCTGGCTCTTTATGCTATTTATAGTAACATATGCTACCATGAGCTATGTATGACACATATATTAGACATGCACATATACATGTATATATGCATATACACGTATGTATTATTCCTCATGATTTTCAGAGTCTTTTGGAGAAAAAATCCTATAATGTCTGACCTTCCTGGGAAGGAGACCCTGCGCATACATATGAGATTATATGACCAATTCTCCTACTGGATTCCAAATTAGGTTCTTGTCGGCTGAAGTCCTTGGAACTCAAGCCAAACTCCAAAGACACCGGAGAGGCCAGCCTCTTTCCTGGGCGGGCTCCACACTGACCTCTGCCATTACAGTTGGAAGTCCCAGCCCGAAACCCGCCCAGTCTGACTCACAAGCAGCCCTTCATACAGCGTCTTAATTTGGAAAAAGTGAGCTAATGGAGCACAGCTTAAAACAAGAACTGCCCTTTTTGAAAGGCCACCTTCATCGCTGTCCACCAAATACACTGTGCTCTAAAAATGCTGTGAGAAAGGGACATCTCGCAAGTTGTTTTTCCGTGCTACCCTTGGAAGAGACAGAGAACAGGCGTGAGCCACGCACACCCCCCCAGAGGCTCTGGCCAGGCCAGCGTGCACACAGACAAGCTCCAGCATGGAAAGGGACGTGAGCAGGAGGCCACACACCTCCATGACCTGCTCACTGAACTAAGGGGACACCCATTTCCTATTTGTTTTCTTGTCCATAAGAAATAAATCATTTCCCAAACTGTCATAACATGGCCATTTGGTGTTGGTCCCGGCATCCCAAAATGGAACCTTTCAGTTGAGTAAGTACAAATAATTACAGTAGAGAAAAAGGTTCACCTTCGTGTTCCTTCTGAGGTCATCATTCCCGTTAAAAAACAAACAAAAACCCTTGATGATAACTACTCACTCCAAGCGAAGGGATATTTTTGTTTTTAAAACAAATTAAAACAAATCTTCTCTGTTAAGAGTATTTCTCCATACTCTTAACAGAGAAGTATTTTCCATTTTTATTTCAGAGGCAAGGCTTTAGAAAGTTCTCTTTCAACCAATATTTGAGCATTTAAATATTTCTAAATATTAGAATATTAAAAATAATGTAATACCCATAACCAGGAAAAAACAATTTTATAATCAGTAAACATAAGGGATATGGGTTTTCTGCTATAGGATTATTGCATTTTTCTTCAGGGATGTTCCAGAACAAATTGTTCTTTCTAACTCCTTCCCAGCCTAGGAGGCAAAGGTACCTTCATCACCAAAGAAAGAGTTCATTCAGAAAAGGAGCATTTGCAAATTCTCAAAAGATGAGCTTGGCTACATGTCCCACAGTGAGAATTACCAGCAAACCTTCAACCCTCGGCAGTGAAAACACAGTCCTACCGATCACGTGATCACTTCGGCAAGCCCTTAGGTCCCCACCTTGATATTCTTTTACTACTAAGGGTGACCTCGGGCATTGGTGGAAGCCCCAGTTGTCCCCACTTATCCCCTCTCTGGCTTGCCTGCTGCCACCAGGTGGGGGTGGGGCACAGGACGTCACCTAGCTTGATGGTCATGGTCACCATGGTATTGGGTACACTCATTATAACACCGTGTCCACTGTGCAGCTAGGAGGGGAGGAATGGCTGACCAGGTACCCCAGGAAGAAGGCGCACAGGGGAGACAGAGCTACACAGGCAGCTGGCTGGTCCTCCACTTCCCATGGCAGGTCATGCAATTTGCCTTTAACCCATCCATTTCAAAGCTTCTGCCTAAAGCCACCTGCGTGGCTTCTTACCTGAGAGGTTTTTGAGGGTGTCCCGCTGGGTGTAGGAACTGAGGCTTGGGTGGAAGGGGAGGTCTTTTTGGTTTCTGCGGAACACTCCCCGGGCTTTGCAGCCCGTCACCGCCTCTTCCTCTTTGGGCCCCCAGGGACAACCTCTTGTAGTCTTCCCGCGCTTGCTTAGCCAAGGAGCGTCTCTTCTCATCAGCTGCTTTGGATTTTCGCACTGGAAAAACAATGGGGTTTACGTGAACGGCCCTCGTCAGCCCACAGAGAGGTGAGAAGGTTGCGCACTGCACGAGGGACAGCAGAGCAGGGTCCCGGCAGCTTGTCATCTGCTCACAGCCACAAACAAACACTGTCAACACCTACTGTGCAGACAGCGTTCGCCGCAGGGTTCCTGTCTTCACACGGGAGTTTGGGGATTTTCTGAGAGAGGAGGAAGAGGAAGAGATGAGAGAGAGGTGGAGATCATGTGCAAGAACTTCCTGTAGTCAGCAAGACTAAATGATGAGTCCCAGCCTGAGTGAGGGTTCAAGTTGTCAGATGTGTTGAATCACAAGGGACAACTGTCGCACTGCCTCTCATGCTCACGTTCAGACGCAGTGGGCCTGAGCCACCAGCAAAGACAGGGCAGTCAGAGCGACCCAGTGGCACGGGGGCGCGGACAGGGTGAAGAGCAGGCAGCTGGACCAAACATGAGGCAGCCCCATAGACTAAAGAACAAAGGGATGTTTAGCCACAGATAATTGCAGAACACGTGTAAAAGTACTCCAAAGCTGCCTTTTAATATTACGGCCACATGTCGCTTAATGATGGGATAAGTTCCAAGAAATGAGTCATCAGGCGATTTTGTCCTTGTATGAACATCACAGAGTGATGAGTAAGTACAGGGTGAACTCACACGAACCTGGACAGTGTACCTGGTACACACCCAGGCTGCAAACCTGCACAGCATGTTGCTATGCTGAATACTACAGGCAATTCTAACAGTGACACGTATCTGTGTATCTAAACACAGAAAGGGTATGCAACAGTAAAATATGGTATAAATGACAAAAAATGGGACACCTGCCTAGGGCATTTACCATCAATGGAGCTTGCAAGACTGGAAGTTACTCTGGGTGAGTGAGTCAGTGAGTGGTGAGTGAACGTGAAGGTCTAGGACGTTACTGTATGCTATTGTAGACTGTATGCTTAGGCTATACTAAATTCATAAAACTTATTAAGATTTTAAAGTTTATTAAATTTATAAAAAATATTAAAACATTATACAACGCATGACTACTTTGTAAAATAGAGGGGGTTTTCGTTTTAGCAGCATAATGTTAAAGACTCTAATGCGGAATAAGGATAATTTCCACCGATTGTATTTACACCTCAGGCATTATTGGTTAAATCCTGCTATGTTTGACTTCACAGTGATACCAAAAATATTCCATTATACTAGGATTTCATTGCATAGCACGAGGAGGCTATTGGATCTTGCAAATATTTCCATTTCATAAAAGTTGTCATTTCGATGGCATTTGCTGTAATGGAACTGCAGGCTACTTTAGGATTCTTAACATCCTGCAAACGTTGCCCCTCTTGTTCTCTTCCTCAAGCCGCCTCAGGGATGAGCTGGTACTTCAGTCTTCTTTGTTCGGGTCAGATGGAAACCCTAATACCTTCTCAGACCTGAATTCTTCCAGCATCTTGGAGCATTCTTGTCTCTGCAGTCATTTGCATGGCTTGTTCTTCTCCTCTGACTTTTCTCTCTGGCAGAACTGACTTCAAAGGGAGCCAGGCCTGGACCACAGGCACGGACAATACATCCAGCCTGTGATCCCTTTTTTCTTCTCATTACAAAGTTAAAATGCATTCACTGTTGACAATTTAGGGGGGAAATCCCAAAACAGAAGAACAAGAAGAAAAATTCAAATAAGTAATCTTGAATCCCACCTCTCCAAGAAAACTAGTGTTTACACTTAACCTTCCAATTCTTTTCCTTCGTGTGCTTAGACATTTTTAAACAGTGATTATTTTTCATACTATTTTATGTTTTTTCTTCTCTAAGCAAATGAGATATAAACATATTCCAAGGTCATTACATGCTCTTCTAAAATACATTTTTCATAGCTACTTACTATTCTATTATATAAATACATCATCATCTTGAGGGTACAAAAATGAATTGAATTCTGCCATTCAAAAGTGGCTCGTAAGTATCTGAGTATTAATTTAGTAATAACATGTGAGTAATAATTTATTGTTAAGATGTCTCTCAACAACCCACTTTAAGTGCTTCTCAGGGTGATCATTTAATTAAGAAAAAGAATCAGTGGGGAGACCCGAGGTTCTACTGCGGTGCCCGAGTACTTACGAGACGCCTGCCACTCGGAATCTTCTTTCCAGCTCTTGTAAATCTGCTTGGTTCTCTCTTCATCTACTTGATTCATTTCTTCATCTTGTTTTTTCTTCTGGGGCTCTTTCTTCTGTTAAAAACAAAAACACACACAAAAAAAAACCAGAAACAAACACTGGTGAGCAAATCCGGCAGTTTCTGCAAGGAAAGGATCCTGAGCCCGTCTGATTTCTATTACTGTCCCTGGCCCCCTGGGGAGGCAACGTGCTGTGTGGACAGAGCGTGGGCTTGGGAGTCAGAATGCCCGAGCTGGCTCTACTGCTGCCTCGCCGTGCATGGAACTCCAGGCCCGATCACTCAGCCTCGCCTGGGCTATTTCCCCATGAGTAAAATGAGAAACAAGATTTCACAGGGTTACAGTGAGAGTTAAATAACTTTTAAATAAAAGTACCTAGCACAGAGTGTTAACAACTCAACAAATATTCCTTTATTCTCACACATGGCACTTAGCTGCTTCAAATCTACGCCCCCCCCCTTAAGTAGTGGTCTATTTCATGAGATCAGAGTAAACACTATTTTATAGCAGGAGTCCCCAACCCATGGTGAGTTATATAATTATTTCATTTTATATTGCAGTGTAATAGAAATAAAGTGAACAATAAATGTAACGCGATTGAATCATCCCAAAATGATCCTCCCTTTCCCCGGTCTATGGAAAAATTGTCTTCCATGAAAACAGCCCCTGGTACCAAAAAAGTTGGGGACTGCTTCTTTGCAGGACCTGACAGGTTGCTCAGAACAAATGCACGTTCCCATAGCAGTCCCAGCCTGACCTCTACATACCATCAAACCACGTGTCCCGAAGATGCCGCACTTACATGTGGTTCAAAAAGGAAGATTTTTGTTTTCAAAAACCCAAATATTTTTAAAAAGCATTCTTCAAGAAGAGAAAATAGAAAATAAGACATGTGAGTATTCCTTTAAAAGGAGAATTCGGTTTTTTTTAATTATGGTAAAATAGACATAACAAAATTTACCATCTTAACCATTTCTAAGGGTACCATTTTATGGCATTAAGAACATTCAAGAAAATGTGTTTTAAACTAAAGAGGAAATGAACAAACCAAATCACTTAGACCTGAAAAGTACTTTGTTTATTGGGCTACAGCCTTCTGAGTGCTCCCAAGAAAAGTGAATTTACAACTTGGTGAACTAATAAAAGCCTTGGTTAGCTAAGTAATTAAACAAGCTGAAAGGGTCAAGACAGACTGTGCTTCCTTCTCTCTCACAAATGACAGGTTTTTTCATTTGTGTTTTCCTCTGGAAAGATAAAAACTTCCCTGTTGTTAAATTATTTCCCCATGACTAAAATATCAACCTTGATGTTGTGAAACTTGTTTTTTATTATCGTGGGAAGTGATAACTCACAGTTTATGCAGTGGTAATTCATAAATTGGACTTCACTTTTGAAGTAACTAAACTTTAGTGCATTTGCTCTTTTCATTTTTTTTTTCCTTACATTGTTTTCCTGCCTGGAGCTAAGCTCACTTTGTGTGCTGATATCATAAAAACCAAAGAATAGCTTTTGGTGTTTGAAATGACTGTTAGAATTTGCCATCCCTTTACTGAAGCTGTTTACAAGCCTGACATAAAAGTGCTGCTAGCAATTTCTAACCTTAAAGAGAAAATAAACTTAAAAGTGGAGGCTTGCTTGTTTGACTCCCACATGCATGTGTATTTATTTTTAAATGATTGGAAAACATATACTTAAAACATCAAGCTATGATTATCATGGGCATTGTTGCTTAGGATAAACAAGATGTTAAAAAAAGCGAGTCTACTTAAGGAAAAATATTAAGTAAATAATAATAGACGTGGTACTTGCTTGATGAGACTCCAATGCCTGAGAGTGCTGTATTTTGCAAACGTACTCCTTTTAATCTGCAGTGTAATTATGTCCGATCACACTGGAAACTCAGAATTAATGAGTTTCACAGAGTAATAGCAGATGAGCGCTGGCGCTGACTGCTTATTTATTCAAGGCAGCTGGAAAACTTAAGGCACTTGTCCGAAGTTTCTCTAAGAAGTCCCCCAGAAAATTTACTTTTAGAAAAATCTTTAAAAGCTTGTCTTTACTTTCTATATTCAGAAAGCCATCATTTCCTCTTGAGAACTGCTCTGCTGGAAGCGTGTCAATCAAAGACTCGGGACTGTGAGTTGAGAGTGGGGGAAACCAGGGGAAGGTTCTGGAGTGAAGGTGCAGAGGGCCGAGGCGGGATGCTGGTCCAGACAGATGCCCCGGGTTCCAGGGCTGGGGACCCAGGCAAGCTGTCAACAGGCGCTCAGCTAACAGGACCAGAAAGTGAGGCAGAGTCGGGCCCATACAGATGCCCTCTTGTCCCAGCCTGGGATGGAAACGGAGAGTGACTCCCCACCCGTCTCCTCCCAGACACTCACAAATACCTTCTTTATCACACCTTGACTCTACAGGGAAGCCTGGCAAGTGACATGCTCATTCATTCTCTGGAATTATTTGCTACTCTTTAACCATGCCTAGTGAGCGCTGGTCTCTGTGCCCTTCTATCTGCTGTTCCCTCTGCCAGGAACACCCACCCTCCAGACGTCTGCGTGGCTCCCTCCCTCCCTCCCTCCCTCCCTCCTCCAGCTCTTTGCTCCAATATCGCCTGCCCTGACCTCCTCTCTAAAAGACCCATTCCCCTCCTCCTCAGCCCCTCTTCCTCCCGCTTTATTTTCCTCCACGGCACCTACAAGCACCTGACTTCATGGACAGATTTATCTGTGTCTCCATCCAGAATAGAAGCTTCCCAAGAGCAGGAATTTCACCTAATTTTTTCCCCATAAAACGTGTCTCCAATTCCCGCCACAGTGCCTGGCACACACAGAGGCCACTCCATATGCATTGGTTCCATAAATATACGGATCCTGTGCCTTTCTCAACTGTCACCATTTAAGATGCCATAACGTCATCTGAGCAGTGTCACTGAGAGTTGCCTTTAGATCCTCTAGTGCTGCTGTTTTAGGAAAAGGTGTGTCAGGGCAGTGGTATGCATATAAGGACCACAGTTCTACAACTTCTTGGTGATTTCTTGAAGTGTCAGAAATGCAAGCTACTCGTGCATGCATGTGCCTACAGAGGACTTGGGGGACTGCTCACACCCTCCACAGGAATGCAGGTCCCTGGGCCAGCCTCCCCCGCAGCCCAATCTCAGGCCATCCAGAACTTTCCCTTCCCAGGCTCCTGTCTTACCCTGTTCTTTCAGACATCCTGTGGGTCAAATCCTATTGCAGCTTCCAAGTGCCCGTCTATGCCTCCTTTATTTTGAGCAACTTAGGATGCGACAGGAAGCTAGCATGATGGAAGAAGTGGGCTTGGCCTGCAGGGAGAATGTCACATCTGGACAGAGACAGGGGAGTCCAGTGGACGTGGGGACACAAGAGGCTGCCCAGCGTGAAGGCACAGGTTCAGAGCCACAGTGAGCACAGCAGTAATATAATCTGAATTCACGCTTTCTGCCAAGTCTAACGCTGCATCTATCACTCTCTGCAATCGGTCCCCCCTCGGTGTCGCCTCTGTGCTAGATCTTTGGGGAGGAGCTTTGCAGACACGTCTTGGCACCTGTGCTTTCCATGACATTCAAGACTGTCCCTACTCCAGACAAATGGCTGTGTGTTTGCAGTTTTCAATACGGATTTCATCTTCTGCTGCTTCATTTCATTTCTGCGTGAGACTAATTAACTAATTTGTGAAACGTCAGTGGAAACGGCGATGCACGCAGCCCCCTGGACACAGAACGCCGGTCTCTTTACCTGGTGAAATCCATATGCCTTCATACGACTGATAGAATCGGCCAACATTTGTTGAATGTTTCTTGAACTGGAGGGTGACTAAAAATTAAATGAAACACATTTTGTAGCATTTGGAGCTGCAATGCAATCTTAGAAGACAACCTGTCACTGCTTCCCTCGTTTCCATGTTCCCCAAAGCTGCCCCCACCCCCGAAGCTGGATTCACCCCAGTTTCCCAGTGGCACCTGCGTTCCGGAGCCAGCACTGACCTATTGCAAGCATGTGAGCCTCAGGGGCCCCACTCGGTAGGGCTTAGAAATGAATAATCACCCCAGAGCCAGGAGCTGCTGGTTTGGTGTGTCTTGCTCCCATTTGACCCCAGGGGCCCTTGGATCACTTCTAGACATCAAATTACCCCTAATTTAATTCTGTCCTTGCTTGATCTCAGCATTCCGTTTAAACCCAGACCAGAGAAACACTTTAGTCTGAGGCATTTAACTGCATAGCGCCTCGCTCCCCCTTCTAGGGCTGTAGACACACCTGGAATACCAGTTCCTTGCCTGGGAGGCCCACCTACTTTCCCTGCCTGGGTCACACCCCTCCCCTCCCCCTGCTCTAGTTTCTGCTGTGCAGGATGGATTTCCCAGGAGGCAACTCCTCCAGTGGGGTTCCCTGATCCATGGCCTAGATTCCTTGGTGGAATTCCCGCCTGCCGAGCTCTCTGGCATTGTAACCGAGCTGGCAAATCAAATCGGGTGCCTCCTGAGACACAGGCCCCCATCACCCCGTCCCAGTGCACAGCCTGAGCCAAGTCCCAGCATGGGTAGCCACGTGCCCTGCACAGCCAGATAGAGCCACCACCACCCACGTGACCACGACTTATATGCCTTGTGCCTGAGGACTCAATTCTGAATTTTGGCATAGATCAGAAACTGTCAGCAAAATTCTAACAAAAGGTCGGTGCCAGTATTCAGTGGGAGCACTGAGGGTGCTGTAGGGTCATTATGATGCCACGCAATAAGCCAGTATAGCAGAAACTGCCGGCTTTCTCATCACACCCTTTTTGTCACAGTTGCTGGCATGTGGCTACCCAACCCTACTGCATTTCCCAGCTGCTCTAGCGGTTATCTCAGCATAATACAGGTGATAACTAGCATTCACCACTTCTAGCCAAGCCCTTAAAACCTCCTTCCAGCTACTTCCTCATTCCTTAGGGCAAGAATGCTGACAGTAACTATGCTAGTACTAAAGACGGCAGAGCCACAGAAAGCCTGAGTCCCTGAATGACCGTGTGGAGCTGAGCCCTCCTGAACCAGCACACTTACCCCAGACTGTTATCAGAGAGAAAAATTAGCTTCCATTGTGTTTCGGCCATTGCATTTCGGGTCTATTTTGTTTCAAAAGTTTAGTTTTTACCTTAACTGATAAAAGTGGCCACAACAGTTGCTGGTGGCATGCTTTAAGCTCTCTGCTGAGAATTTTTTACTAATCATGGGTAGTGCAATTAATGCTAATTCCATTAATGGCTATGAGTTGCTGAAGGCACGTTAAGACCAAGCACTGTGTTAATGACTAAGTATGATTTTTATTCCATTCAACATCTGTAATGGATGGGCAACGTAACGCCCATTTCCCCAGGAAGAAATGGAGTCTCAGAGGAGTTGTGGAATTTGCTCAGGGTCACACGGCTGGCTCATGCCACAGTGGATGTTTTTCTCTTGCATAGACGTTGCAGTGATATGAAAATGAAATGCAGGTCAAAAGATTTCTTATGCTTATTACTTGGCAAGCTAATGAATCCTACGGGTATCACAATCGCCATTTACTACATTCTCTCTTGCTTTTTCTTTTCTCATTTTAATATTATAAAAGGATACTTAGCTTCTCTGCATCTAAACCAGAAGAGTATAGTAACTAGTTTCTCTATGAACAGGGTAGAACTATTCCAACAGGCTTCATTATAAATCTGTCTATTCAAAAGTCTAGCATGGTTTTGAAAGTCTCTGGATGCATTTCTACCATAAGGAATGTGAGCTTTACAAAATAGGCTCATGTTCTCTCTCCCCCCAATGACATAAGATCTGTTGGGCATCATTTTGCAAAAGAATCAGTTTCTTGGATGTTGAAAATTAGGCAAGTAACCATCCTCCCCTTGATACCTCCCCTCAATATTGTAGAAAATGCTTCAAGCATGCTGGCTGCACTCCCAGAATCAGGAGGACCTGGACCAGTGAAATAGAGTCTTGGGCCAAGATTTGTCAGCAACGCCTTTATGACGCTTAGTCTTTTGAGTTTTTAACTAAACTCTTAGTTGTTTACTGAGTTCGCATCAGGCTAATAGGCTTCTGACAGTCATCTTCCAATCCATGCATTCAAAAGTGCTGTCCAGTATATGTACACCATGGAGTACTATTCAGCACTAAGAAACAATGGTGATCTAGCACCTCTTGTATTTTCCTGGACAGAGCTGGAACCCATTCTACTAAGTGAAGTATCCCAAGAATAGAAAAACAAGCACCACATGTACTCACCAGCAAATTGGCGCTGATCAACACTTAAGTGGACACATATGAATAACATTTATTGGGTGTCGGGGAGGTGGGAGGGGGGAGGAGGGGATGGGTATATACATACATAATGAGTGAGATGTGTACTGTCTGGGGGATGGGCATGCTTGAAGCTATGACTCAAGGGGGGAGAGGGGACAAGGGCAATATACATAACCTTAACATTTGTACCCCCACAATATGCTGAAATAAAAAAAATAGATGGGAATATAAAAAATTGCTGTCCATGTTTTCAAGCATCTTCCCCCAATCTCTTGCCAATTACTGTCACCTGTTGTAGGTACAATGATTTAAACATACTACCTGAGTTACTGTCTGTCCTGTAGAATTATTCCTTCAACTGAATAATTCATCTCATGTACACATTGTTTTCTTACCACTCACCCTTTTAAAATTATCCTAATTTTGTCCCTATCATCATGGTACACCTTTTCTTACTAGTACTTCCAACATGCTCACTGCTTTCACACTTATCAGATGTGATGGGGTTACAGATATTCTAACAACCACCCCTTGCCAAAGAGGGAAGGTCACTTGTTAATAGGTAGGAGGGCAGGGACTCTGAACCCAAGGTCAAGTCTGTGTCTAAAGCTTGCTCCTGCAGCAGGCTGGCCCAGAAAGAACACAAGCAGGCTTCTACACTCATCGGCTACCACAGTCAGCACCCACCTGCTACGTCACAGAGATTCCTGCAGCTGCTCAAACTCTACGGGCAGGGTTCAAGCAATCTTATCTGCTTCATATTTTCTCTATTTAACAATAAAAATTTCCATGAATACTTATGCAAAACCTTCCCCCAAATAAAGAGAAAAACAAAGCTAATATTAATAACATCAGGAGCTAGTGGACACCCCAGCAGACCCTGAATCAGAATGACCCTCTCTAATCAGTGAAGATCCCAGTTGGATCTGGGAGAATAGTCCATCCCAAACGGCCAGAGGATAGTATAAAAATATTACTACTGTTAAAACTTAGTGCAATTCAAATTTACACAAGTGATTGGGTTACAAAAAGATGCTGCTGACAACATCGATGTTACATGGTTACAAATTATACTTCCCCCTAGAGACGATGTGTCACATGACAAGGATTATTCTAATTATGTTCATTTTTAACACTGGTTTGAAAAAGAGTTCATTCTGGCTTCTAATTTATTATTCACTTTGTCTAAAAGTAGAGTGATACAGTCAAAAGATTATGAGTGCCTATAATTCCAAATAAACCTTTAGAAAGCTCCAATAAATGGAACGTTTTTAACACTCAGTATTTATGGAAGATAATGAATTAACAGGATAAAATCAAGAGTTTATTTTTGCAAAGAGACCATGAAGTTAAATATTTACTCATCCTGTTCTCTTACACTTCTTAAATCTGTGGCATTCCTAGACAGAATGATGGTCAGATTTAACACCTCGATGAGGGCAAAGACCATGCCAGCTTAAGTCACCACCACCTGCAGCCTCAGCAAATAGGACTGTGACTGTCACCTGGCAGGCTTCATAAATATTTGGTGAGTGAATTAACAAACAATAAATTCATGAAACACTTTCTCAATCATTAAAAGATATTCAGTCTACTTTTAGTATTAGTCAAGACAGACTATTTGAATTCAAATACTCTGAAAATCAAGGGTCTAAAACTCATCCATTTACTAACCAGTTCACTGAAATAATCAGATCATCCTCTTCCCAGCCATTTCAAATAATAATAAAAAAAAGAATTTCCCAATAATGACTATAATATTAAGCTTTTGAGCACACTGGGATTTTGCTTTTTGCTTGTAAAATAATGAGAGGCAGAATAATGGAACTCTACTTGATAAAGTTATAAATAATAATAATATAGAGTGCAGATATTTTCCTAAGGCCAACTAGACTAACAAGATGAAAAGCAGGAGAGTAAATTTTATTGCTTGAAAATATGGCACATGCTCCCTGCAGAGTGATTTTACTGAAACATGAATTAGGACAGTGGAAACCCTAGGATAGTTTTTCCCCATTTCTCTAATATCGTTCCCAGCAAAATCTATGCAGAGAGACTGGATGCTCTGACTTAGAAGTACAGAAGACTCTAATATGATGTGCAATTTTATGGCACAGCTTTAAATAAACATTGTCTTTAGTTTCTGAGTTTATCTTGGGCATACTGGAACACTGAACTGTTATACTGATGAGCATTAGTTCACTTCTATCACTCCTCCTCCCTACAACCCCTTCAGCAATGTGCAAACAGACTGGGCAGTAACATCCTCAGAAATGCAATGACACATAGCTGGTAGGGCTGCTAGGGCACAGCATTTCAGACATGGAAGAGTTTAGAAGGCCCCTCTTATATTCTCATCCATCGAGGTGCCTGATACAAGACCTATGAAAAAGAAAACCGGGTACAGTGGATCATGCCTGCAATCCCAGCACTTTGGAGGCCAAGGCAGGAGGATTGCTTGAGGTCAGGAGTTGGAGACCAGCCTGGGCAACACAGCAAGACCCTGTCTCTACAAAAAATAAAAAAAATTAGCCGCATGTGGTGCTCTCT